CCTTACCCGGTCTTCTGTGTTCGCGGACCATAGATAAGAGTCAATTTCCTCGATTTGAGATTTAAAATAAACCGGTGACTTGGGATACCATAAATTATTCCAAGTGGCGACTCTGAAAATAAAAAAAATAATCTCATTTCGATTCATGTCACTTAAATTAGAAAAACTCCCTTATATACCCTTCGGGGGTAAAAAGGAGGTGTGGCATCGTCTTGTTGTTTACTAAAAGCCTTATACATGTCCTTCTTTTGGACTTGCTCTTTAAGCTCGAAATTGAGCTGGCTGATTTCCATTCGGGACTAAAGGAAGCTTTCAGGGTGGAGAACTGAAGCCTGAAAAACAATAAGGTCATTAGAACAAGTTGAAACTAAGCAAAATTTGCAAAGGGTAAAAAGAGTAGATGTCTTACCTGGTTCAGTGCATATTGCATCTCGTTGAAAAGGCTCGATGTGCCTACTTCGTTCATCTTTACCTAGGTACTCCCCAGTCACCAGGCAACGAAGATAGCTGGCCCCACCCACTGGAGCGGACATCACCCAGGCATCCGTCAGGATAGCAAGAACGATCGTTCTCTTATGGTCAGGATCCACACTCGAGGAAGCGAACTGCCTCACTAGCTTCGGGCTCGAGCTCGACTCACCCGCTCCCAATGGTACATCTTATTTGGGACCTCCAGGTGACCAAGCTCAGAATAGTCCTTCAATACGCTTATGTCCATGCCGTCAAAGAACATGTTGAGGGCATCATCTGCACCCGGACCATCTCGTTTGATTTCTTTTTATCGGCTTGAGCCTCTTCGAGCATAGAATCTGTGTGGGATGGAGACTCAGCAATGTCGATGACACCGATGATTTCCCTCAGAGCAGGGATAGCCTCTCGGGAGGCTGTAGCCTCTGGTTCTCCATTCGGCCCTTCGACTAAAGAAGGATCAGCTCTTCGGCTTCTATATCTGGTAGTCGTCTGACCCTTCTCATCGGTGACCGACTCATGGACGACGAATTCCAAGTCATCATCGTCGGGGAAATCCATGATCCAGAAGAGAGATTCGGAGCCCCGTGCCCTAGACCAGGTACTCTTTTTGGTGCTTTTCCGGACCTGAACTGCTACCCACTTTTTCTTGACCTCGGCATCCGAGGAGAGAGAGGATTTCCTCTTTATCTTTTTCTCCTCTCGTGCGACAGCTTCGGGTTGTCTCGGAGAAGAAAGTTTAGCGAGCAAGGACAGAGTCGCATCACCGTCCAATTGCTAAAACTCGGTGGTCTTGGGTAAACCTTTGAAAGGGAAAAAGACTTAGCAAAAATAAAAGTTAAGTACGTAAATGTAATTATTTGGGAGGAAGACTCCCTATGGGAACGGGCCTCCCACCTTCCCTTTGAAAGACTGCACCATTCGCGCTAAAAATATGACATTTGTTTGTATATCCCCTCGATTCACTCCTTGAAATGGGGGACTGTATTGGGAACTCGGGCGACCATTGCACAATGATAGGCATAGGTAATTAGAAAAAGAACGAAGAAAATACCAAAATACTAAGGGGATCCAGAGGACTTCCTCTTTTTCTTTTTCTCCTCCCATGTGGCAACTCCGGCTGTTAAGGAGCAGAAGGTTCGGCAAGCAAAGACGAAGCTGCATCCCCGTCCAATGGCCGTAACTCGGTGGTCTTGGTCAAATCTGTGAAAGGGAAAAAGACTTAGCAAAAATAAAAGTTAAGTACGTAAATGTAATTATTCAGGAGGAAGATTCACCATGGGAACGGGCCTCCCACCTGCCCTGTGAAAGATTGTGCCATTCACGCTCAAAATATGATATCTGTTTGCATATCTCCTCGATTGGGAACTTGGGTGACTGCTTCACAATGATAGGCACATGCAATAAGAAAAAAAAGCCAAAGAAAACACCAAAATACTAAGGGAGTGAAGAAGACTTAGGGGCCAAGTTCCACTTTTTAGGGAAAGGTAAAAGTTCACGGGGTATGAGATCTTCGGTCTTCACCCGAACGAACCTCCCCTGCCAACCCCAATCTTGATCTTTATCTATTCTCGAAAACAGAGCTTTGCTTGTTCGATGGACGAGCTTGATCAACCCCCTTGAAAAACTCGGGACTATAGAGTTGAAGTAGGTGGTCGAGGGTTAACTGAGGTGCTTCGGTGTTATTGACGAAATAACGGAGGAGGATTACGATCCTCCAAGGGATAGGTGAATTTTTCCAAGGAACACCTCATACTTCTTGTAGAAGCTGGGGATTACATGGTTCACTTGGGCAAGCGTGAAGAGGTAAGTGTAAACACTTAGATAACCCTCCACGTGGGTAGTAATGTGCTTGTTGGGCCCGGGGACAATCACATCCTTGCCCTCCCAGTTGTAGTTCACTCGAACTGTGGGGAGTATATCTTCAGTAATAGAGGATATGTACCTCCATACCACCTCGCCTCGGTCTTGCTTACAGGAAGCCTTCTCAACTTCGAAGTCGTTTTCAATGGAACAACCTCTAGGAACGAAAGTCTTCAAAAGAGGCTTCGGGACCACCTCAGGAACGGTCACCTTGGCATCCGTAGCTGGATTGGAAGTTGAAGGGACGGTTTGTTGAGGCACGGATTTGAAAGTTTTTGCCATCGAATTTCGGAAAATAAAAAGGTTTGAAGAAAAATATAAAGGTTCGCAAAAAAGGAGGCCTGGGCAGATTATAAAGCACTATATTTCGAGAGTTTCGGTCATTTTTGCATTTTGGGAGCTATGGAGCTCGGATTGAGGCAATTCTTGAAACAATTTTCACCTTATGAATTGGAGTAAGTGTTCTCTACTCAGTTTTGGTTATATTTCATGTCTTTATCTTCGATTTTTGCAATTAGTTGATGAATGATGTAGATTTCAAGATAGGATGAAGATATGAAGGACTGATTTGAGGTTTGGAGATTTTAAGATGAAGATATGAAGATATGAAGATCTGGAAAGCAACGTATATGGATTTGAAAGGGTTAGAGTTAAGCGGAGAATTCGAGGGTAAATCAAAGAGCTCTAGAATCAAAAAGTAAAAAAGTGAAAGAGGGGTCAGAGCTTTCATAGAGGAAAAGATAATCAATGCGTGATGTTTTGCATCCGAGGACAGTCAACCGTCAACTGACATGTATCCGAAATCTGAACGATGCGACTGATGGGACGTTTTGCTGACTTGTCAACTCAGTTGTAACGTACGGAAGAGGAACAGGAGTTAATTTATCACTTCCCGTTGCTTCGATAAATCTACTCTCTGAAAAACGAGGAGACTATCTGTGTATGGGTAAAATCGGGGGTAGAATTTCTCCGATTTCCCGATGAGAGAACGAAAGGGAAGCACGACTCGACATGATTATAATCGGGGATGGGAACCCCTCATATCGAGACCCAAGAAGAATGAACGATGTATCTGAGATCGGACACGGCAAAGCGACGTACCCCGAACCAAGTATGGCTTCTGGACCTTAGGAGATGTGGTACGGTTATGCACGACGGATAGGGGGCCGTAATAATCGCCCTCGACTGGATTTTACGGCGCGAATCTTGTTCGGTATCAATTATAGATCAACAATTACCGGAAAAAATAAGTTTTTTTATACCTTTTTTAGACTTGTACTAGGATTGAAATTCTCCTACTATATAAAGGAAAAGTTTTTCCTTTAGTGTGACACATTGTATCACGCATTTAAAAGGAATAAAGTTTACTTTTGTCTTCTAGCTATTGTTCAAGGCATTACTCATTTGTTTTTTTTATTCGCGATCGGGCTTGTACCGAGGGCCCAATGAGGGACGGGTTCCGCTGTTCATTCTAGGATCAGGCTTGGTCATTATATTACAATTGGTTTGATTGTTTATTTTGTCTTTAATTTATTTATCTGTTATTCTTAATTATTTGTATTGGATTAAACCACATATCCTTTAAACCGCGTACAAATTTATTTGTTACTCATTTTTGGGGTAAACAAGATAATCTTTCATAAGTTCATTATAAAATATGCTTTATTTTTAATAATTATAAGTTTTTGTATTACCTGCATTGGGTATGTGTTTATAAGGTTCTCACTATTTTTTTCTTAATTGTGTAAATAGATTTTTGAAATTTGATTGCTATTAATTATTGATCAGCAAATTATTTGATTTCAATTTTATTTTGCTCATCCTTTTCATTATTCAACGTCATTAATTATATGCTTGATTACCATTTTTTATTTTTCTCATTTTAAAAATAAAATTTAGTTATCATATAGGTAAGTTCATGGCATAGATATTAGGGGAAAAAATCATGATACTAAAATGGTAAAAATAAAGAAGGAAAAGTTATAATGCAAAAAACTTCCATTAGAATATGTTAAGCAATACGAATTAAACTTTCCACTCAATACGAAACTATGTTAAGCATCCAATCTGTCCTTCTTTCCTTTTACTTGGTGGCTGCTGCCATTAGAATAATCAAAAATCTGTTAAGCGGACAATCTTTCCCAACTTCCTTTTTACTTGCTCCAATTAGAATACCGCAAAGAATGACAAAAGAAGGAAAAGGAAACAGAAGTATCTGCTACTTCTATTATTTTTTTGATAAACGTTGTTGTTGCTTAATTTTTCTACCTCTAATTCTTCTTTTTTCTCTTTATTATAAAATAAAAGGTCAATACTATACTTTAACACTTCCAAAGTCAATGGAGAACTTACCTGGAAATTAGTCAGGACACACACACACACTATATATATCCCATGATTGCGACCTTAGGAAGTTCAAAGATTCACCTTTTGATTACTTGATGAGCCATGATATTGAGATGATTGCGACCCTTAGGTTGTTCAAAGATTCTTTTAGCCGAGTATCATCAATTTATTATCATTTATACTTAGCAAGAATATTTGTGGAAATAAATACAGAACTGATCTTTCCATTCTAGCATAAATACAGAGAAACAAATTATGAATAATGGATAGTAATATAAGTATTTACAAAGTTCTGTACATAATTTTTTGAAGTAAATACATAATTACATTCTTACACACATAATTAAGAAACTTTGGAAGGAATTTGAAACCAATTTTGCAGCATAGTGTATGGGCAAAGATAGAGCTGCAGTTCCTATAGAGATGGACCACTGTTTCATTCCTAACTTTTTCCAGTGAGCAATCTTTGACATGATCTGGATTAGTATAACTTGCAAAGCAACAATAATTCCTACAATTACTACACTAGCTATAAACAAACATTTTCTCCACGGATTTCTTCTGATATTCCCTTTGAAGATACTTGTCTTTGTGATCTCAATGGCACTGATGATCAACACAAAAACTTGGCATAGTACGTATGAATTGAAGATCATTGTACTCAACAATGTCTCATCGAGGTGAAAAATCACCCTTCCCTTCTTGCTAAGTATCAACAGAAGTGTAACTTGAAACATAGATTGAACACCTATGTTCATTAACATGTTCTTGGTTATAATAGGTGCACCCGTACCATAATTAGTCGTCGTCGTCTTAGAACAGTTCATCATGACTTGATGAAATTCCAAAGACTCAGGCTTTACGGCTGATGTTATGATTGCCAAAAACAAGGCACCAAGAACTTCCATTACTAGATTTACCCACAACAACTGAAATGGTGTCAATTGTTCTTCACTCGTGGGATTGAAAATTAGGAGAATAAAACTTGAAGTAAATGCAGAAATATTGAGTATCAATTGCAACTGTATGAACTTCTCAATGTTAGTACAGACATACCTGCCCAAGATTAATATAGCTGGGATCATACCAAAATTTGAGTCCACCACAGTAATATCAGCATCTTTCTTAGCCAAGTCCGCACAGTTTTCACCAATAAAAATCCCAACGTCGGCTCCTTTGAGATATGGCAAGTCTCTAATGCATGTACCAGTTGCTGCCACGAGCTCGCGATTCTTAGCTCTTAAGCAATGCACCAAGAGGAGTCTATCAGCAGGAGAACTATTAGCCAATACTTTGAATTTGTGAGACATACTTATTTGGGCTTCCTTGGAGCTACTTCTAAATTCAGCAGCTTCAATTATGGCTCCTTGTATGTCTTCTTCAACTCTCAGAATTCCAGAATTAAGAGCCATCACTCTTGCAGTATGCAAGTCTTCATCCACCATTAATTTGATCTCAATTCCTGATTCTCGACACATTTCAATCGTTTGCCTCAACTCAGGTGAATATGGATTCTTTAATACCACAATCCCTAAAAGGCTCAAGCCATCTTTTGCAATAGTATTTTCTTCAGAATCAATGGGGTAATTTTCCTTTTCTTGTTTTGTTTTTACTTTCTTATAAGCAAAACCAAAGCATTTAACGCCGTTAGATATTATACTCTCAATATTTCTATAGAACATCTCTCTTTTTCCATCATCTAGGGTTTGCATGGTGCCGTTAATGTCATAATAATGAGAACACATAGATAGAACCAGATTTGGTTCTCCTTTCCAATGCACATGCATAAATTTTCCACCTTCTTTGTTTCTCTTTATTAGCAACCCACACAACCCTTTGCTAGGATACAAATTGTCACGACGTAGGATTGTACAACTTCCGAGCAATTCATCAATATCACCGCCAAGCACTTTCTCGGCCCAAATAAGAAGAGAATCATCATTGACACCACCAGTTATATTCATGCAAATTCCTTCGAGTAAGGCATTCAGGACTTCCTCAACATGAGAATCTGCGTGCAGTCACGGAGCCAAAAATCTTAATAAGGGGATTAAAACATTAAGATTTAAAAATTCTCAACCTAGCTAGAAATAAGGGAATTCAACAGTTTATATACATAGAAAAGAAATTTGTTTTTACCCTAGATACTTGCACATAGTAACTTCTAGACGAAGGGAATTCAACTGAACTATCTCCTTACCTTCAGCTCCGCCACTATCTGCAGGAAGGTTCAAAATTTTCTCGAAACCAATCCATAAATCCGCCATCATTTTATGCTTCACAACCAAGTCAAGTGATTTGCTGAGACAGAGGGTGGTAACAAGGGCTACGTTCGCGCATGCTGGGAGCTTATGAACTATGGTTTGATGAGCCTTTTTTATCTCCTTCGATGCATATATAAGAATAATGAAAATTCCTAAAGATAATCCATCTTTTAATGAAAATAACAATATGCATAGCATAGCCACCAAACCATTAACCTTATTGGTGCCACCTCGCTTCCTCCTCATGTATTTTGTGGCCTCGTTCATTATTTCCTCCACTGTGTTCTTCACACCCTTAGGATCTGGATTACGATCGTTATCACAACACCATGATTTCCACAAGAAACAACGGAAAACTTGCACGACAAGAATGAGCAAAGAGAGACTCAACCATAGTTTCTCCAAGAATGAGCTCATCTCATCAATTGATCGATGAATCTGTGACATACCATCATGTTGGGAACTTGCTACCAATTCCGTCAACTTGCATCTTTCAGTGTTTTTCCCAACTGCAGTCACGAGAAACTGGCAGTTGCCTTCCACTAAGTTTGTACGAGTAAACAACGAGGGATGTTGTGACAATTGTTCATCGATTAAACCATCATCGAGCTTGAATGAGTTGCCATGAATAAGAATCCCATCAGCCGGGACCTCATTACCTGTTTCCAAGAACAAAATATCACCAACCACCACTTCAGAAACTGGAATTTGTAGCATCTGGTGGTGTCTAAGAACCCAGACTACCTTTTTCTGCTTCGCCATTTTCTTCTTCACCCATATGGCCTTGAAAAATCTATAGGTAAAGCCAAAATTAACAACAATCATTATTGGCAGAAAGATTAATAAAACATCAAATAATCCTTCTTGGAGACCATTCATCTTAATCCCAATAACAAGAGAAAGTGCGGCGCAACAAAGAAGAAGAATAACGGTAGTATCTTTGAATGCCTCAAGTATCAGTCGATCAAAGCCTTTGCTGTTGGAAGAAGGTGATCGGCCTTCTGAGTTTGTATTGGAACCAAAGGCTTTGCGGCGACGATAGAGATCGTTTGAATCTCCTAATATGCCGGAATCAGTATTTGTTTCCAGTGCATGAAATAGGTGTTGAATAACAGAAGTATTTTGACACAGAAATTTGCCCTTATTATTAGAGTTGTTCTCGACGATATGTGCTAATTGCTTTACACTAATGGAGAAGTTAGAAACGTTTTCTTCATCAATGTGGTCGGAGTTTATCATTTGCAACAGTCTAAATTAAAAATTGAGTTTTGTCTTATTGAAAGATGGATTCGTGGTGTATCAGATAGGAAAAAGAACGATTTATTTAAAACCGGTACTGAGACGATATTAATTACTAAGACTTTGAGTAGGTACGACGAGTAGTTATATTTATACTAAACAAACCATAGTTTAGGCGGTATTGGCACTTTTTTTTTATTATTATACGAGCACATGCATTTATATACTATTCCTACCTATAAACAGTCTAATAATAATGACAGAGAAAAGGGGAGGGCCAATTGTGGGACTATATTTGGGAAAAGCACGCTAACAGACTAAGAAACTTACAAGAAAAAACATCATTCCTAGAAACGCCGACTTTCTCTTAGCTTTCACTAAAGACACGTTGCTAGCAAGACTAACAATTTCTACAAAAAAACAAAAAAATTAAAAAAATTGGGAGGAATCAGCATCTCCAATTATTCTCCATATACACTAAAAGGACCAAAGATTATATGGATGAAACAAAAGAATCAGTACAAACTATATGAGAAGCTTTAATTTCTGCCACCAACCCTTGATCAAGGCTCGAATAGCAATATTAAACTACAAATTGACGGTTTAATTAAATGGCCAGAAACTGATTATTACATCATGAACTAGAAAAAGATTATTTTCCTTAATTTACCTAAGAAGTATGGGACTATGTATTGTAAAAGTTTTCTTTTAGGAATAACTGAATTCATAAAGACTTATGTTGGGCACATGTCCATGTTGTCCAGCCAAAGGCACAATGGCCTAATCCTATTCTTTTTTGGTTTTCAATTCTATTCGGAATTGGATTCGGTTTATTCCTATTTTGAGTGGGTTTTGGCTTTAAGAGAAAGCACCACTCATGATCTATAAATAGGACAACCTTGGAGAATTATTCTATGCTCATTAATACAAGACTTAAGCACATAAGAGTGGGTTTTGAGAGAGCTTTCATCAAGAGAGAAGAGAGAAGAAAAGTATTTGTTTTGCTGCAGATTTTGATTCCGACCAGACAACTTCAAATCAGGTTTTTCGATTCGTTATCCGTTGGATCGGACTGAAATTTTGACTGAGTGTTCGTAACATCTTAGACTTGGATTTGAACGGTGGAGATCGGATTTGGAGACTCGTAGAATCTGATTTAGAGCCTCGAACAACAGCTTCGTTTTTGTGGATTATACTCTTTCTTCAATTGATTAGTTGTTGCTATTGTTGCTCCGTGTTTGGTACTTGTTGTGTAACCATTTTGGAAAACTTTTGTAAAACTCTTATTGTTATAGTGGAGCATTTTGGATCTTTGTGATCCCGTGATTTTTACCTTCGATTTGAAGGGTTTTCTACGTTAAAATTGGTGTTCTTTATCTTCTTCATTTTCGGGTTTGCCTCTTCCTCGACATAACAGTGGTATCAGAGCCTTGGTTATTTATCCGGGTTGTTACAGAATGGATGAGAATATGAGCAAGATGGTATGTTTAAATGAGAGAAAATATAATGTTTGGAGAAGCAAGATGAAAGACTTGTTGTTCGTGAAGAAGATGCATCTACCCGTTTTTTTAGCTCATAAACCCGAGAGTATATCCGATGAAGATTGGGATTTCGAGCACCAATAAGTATGTGGATATATACGACAATGGGTTGAAGATAATGTTCGCAACCATATTGTGAACGAGATACATGCAAGATCATTGTGGGAAAAGCTAGAGACTCTTTATGCTTCAAAAATCGGGAATAATAAATTGTTTCTGCTAAAGCAATTGATGACCTTTAAATACAAGGAAGGCAGCCCTATCCTTGATCACATAAATGATTTTCAAGGCGTCCTTGATCATTTATCTGTAATGGGAGTTAATTTTGATGATGAGATACACGAACTTTGGCTTCTTAATACTCTGCCAGACTCTTGGGAAACTCTTCGTGTTTCTTTGACAAATTCAACTCCTGGAGGTAAGGTGACCATGGAATATGCCAAGAGTGGTGTGTTGAACGAGGAATTAAGGAGAAAATCTCAGGGTTCGTCCTCACAGCAGATATCTTGGTTATAGAAGGCCGGGGGAGAGATAGAACAAGAGGCTCAAGGAATAGAGGTAAAAGTAGAAGTAAGTCAAGGTCCAAATACTATAATATTACATGCAACCACTGTGGCAAGAAAGGACACATCAAAAGGTTTTGCCGCAAGTTGAATCAAGACACTAAAGAAGGAAAGAAAGCTAAAAATAACGAGAACAATGTTGTTGCTATTGTTCGAGATGGCCTTCTTTTTGCTTATGATGAAAATGTCATCAATTTGGTATCCCATAAGACGAGCTGGATAGTAGATTCTGGAGCTACCTCACATGTCACACCAAGAAAAGATTTTTTCTTATCTTATACTCATGTTGATTCTGGAGTGTTAAAGATGGGCAATTCCAGTGAAGTTAAGGTGTTTGGTGTTGGCACAGTTTGTTTGAAAACATATAATGGTTCAACGTTAGTTCTTCAAGATGTCAAGCATGCTCCAGACTTTCCTTTCAATTTGATCTCCGCAGGAAGATTAGACGATGAAGGTTACCATAATGCTATCTTTAATGGACAATGGAAGCTCACCAAGGGCTCGTTAGTAGTGGCTCGAGAAGTCAAGTCTGGTCAATTATATGTAACACAAGGCTCTATTCTTAATGACTCCATAAATCTGGTGGAAAGTGATACTTTATCAGAATTGTGGCACCGAAGACTGAGTCATATAAGCGAGAGGGGGATTACGTGATTGGCTAAGAAAAGTTTGCTTTCTGGAGTGAAACAAACAAAGCTGAAAAGGTGCATATATTGTTTAGCTGGCAAACAGAAAAGGGTTTCCTTTCATAGCCATCCTCCCTCAAGAAAGCCCGATTTATTGGAGCTAGTACACTCTGATTTGTGTGGTCCTTTTAAAGTAAAGTCAACATGTGGTGCACTTTACTTTGTGACCTTTATTGATGATCATTCTCGTAAGCTCTGGGTGTATTCTTTGAAATCTAAAGATCAAGTACTTAGCGTGTTTAAGGAATTTCAGGCCTTAGCTGAGAGACAGACGGGGAAAAAATTAAAATGTATTCGCACTGACAATGGTGGTTAATATTGTGGTCCCTTTGATAACTATTACAAGGAAAAAGGAATTCGTCATCAGAAAACTCCGCCCAAGACACCTCAATTGAATGATTTAGCAGAGAGGATGAATAGAACTCTAGTTGAGAGAGTTAGATGCTTACTTTCAGAGGCTAAACTTCCAAATTTATTTTGGGCGGAAGCACTTAACACTGTTGTCTATGTTATCAATTTGTCTCCTGCAGTTAGTTTGGATGGTGATGTCCCAGACAGAGTTTGGTTTGCCAAAGATGTTTCTTATGATCACCTGAGAGTTTTTGGGTGTAAAGCTTGTGTGCATGTTCCTAAAGATGAGAGATCGAAACTGGATGTCAAAACTAAGCAGTGCATCTTTATCGGTTATGGTCAATATGAGTTTGGGTATCGTTTTTATGATCCAGTTGACAATAAAATTATTTGAAGTCGTGATGTAATATTCTTTGAAGACCAAACTATTGAAGATATTGACAAAGCTGAGAAGATAGATTTCAGAGTAATGAGAGCTTAGTTGATATTGAACTAGTTTCAATTGCTAAGGCACCTATTGCACATGTAGGAAACCAAGACAATGATGGAGATAGTGATCAAGATCAAAATGATCATCATGGTGTAGATGTTATAGATGCTCCAGTTGATGAATTTGTGGTTGATCAGCAACCAATTCCTGCATAGGTAACTACTTCGAATGCTCCTGAAACCTCTCTTAGAAGATCTACAAGGGAGAAGCAAAAATCCATGCGCTATCCTCGTGATGAGTATGTACTTTTGACTGACATGGGAGAACCTGAGAATTATGATGAAGCTATGCAAGATACTCACAAAGATTAGTGGATCGAAGCGATGGAAGATGAGATAAAGTCACTCCATGAGAATGGCACATATGAGTTAGTGAAATTACCGAAAGGTAAGAGAGCTTTATCTAACAAATGAATATTCAGAATAAAGCAAGATAACCATACCTCTGCGCCTAGATACAAGGCGAGGTTAGTTGTTAAAGGTTTTGGCCAGAAGAAGGGAGTTGACTTTGATGAAATTTTCTCCCCTGTTGTGAAGATGTCTTCTATTCGTGTGGTTCTAGGCTTAGCTGCTAGTCTAGATTTAGAGGTTGAGCAGATGGATGTCAAGATTGCTTTCCTTCATGGTGATTTAGATGAAGAGATTTATATGGAGCAACCTGAGGGTTTTGTAACTAAGGGAAAAGAAAATTATGTCTGCAAATTGAAAAGGAGCCTGTATGGATTAAAACAAGCTCAAGGGCAATGGTATTTGAAGTTTGAATCTGTCATAGAAGAAATAGGGTACAAGAAAACTTCTTCAGACCACTGTGTATTCTTTTAGAAGTTCTCTGATGATGATTTTATTATTTTATTGCTTTATGTGGATGACATGCTTATTGTTCGCAAGAATAAATTCAGAATTGCAGTCCTTAAGAAGCAGTTGAGCAAATTGTTTGTGATGAAGGACTTGGGGCCAGCAAAGAAAACCTTGGGCATTCAAATCCAACGACACAGAGATAGAAAGGAGTTATTTCTGTCCCAAAAGCAATACATTGAGAAGGTACTCAAGAGGTTCAATATGACAGATGCAAAAGTGGTTAGTACTCCTCTTGCTAAACACTTCAAATTGAGTATTAGTCAGAGTCCATCTACTGATGAAGAGAAAAAGGAGATGTCTCATATTCCTTACTCTTCTGTTGTTGGTAGCTTGATGTATGTTATGGTTTGCACTAAACCAGATATTGCACATGTCGTTGGTACTGTTAGTAGATTCCTTTATAATCCTAGCAAAAAACATTGAGATGCAGTAAAATGGATATTAAGGTATTTGAAAGGTACTGCAGATTTGAAGTTGTGCTTTGGCAATGGCAAGCCTGAACTTGTTTGTTA